GGGGGGGGGTGGGGCCTGGGGGGCGGATGGGGGGGGGGAGGGATAGAGGTGGCTCCCCCACCCCCCAGACACCTGGGCCCCCAGCAGGCCCAGAGCAATGCCAGCACTGTCCCCAATGCCCGGACACCTGGGTCCCCAACAGGCTTGGAGGCCAGCAGCGTTTATTGAGGCTGTTTTGGGGTGCTGGGGGGGTCCCTATTTCTGGGCCGGGATCATGTCGTCGATGGAGTGGTTCTGCTCCAGCTTCTTCTCCATCTCCACCATGAGCTTGACGCCGTCCACCACCATCTGCACCTGCTCCACCTCGGAGAAGCCCAGGCGGTCAGCGTTGGAGATGTCGAAGACGGAACCCACGGCCGCCGTGTCCACCCCGCCTGCGGGGACAGGTCACCGGCGTCACCCATGGGTGGCCCTGGCTTACCCCCCCATGTCCCCCTCCCCTGGTGGCCCCGTGGTTGGGGTCCTGCATGTCTCCTGTGGGTGCTGTGGCCAAGGTGGTCCCTGGTGTTCCTGGGTCTCCCCTTGGACCATGTGGCCTCTGTGTCCCCATGTCCCCTGCAGCCTCCTGTGCTCTCCATGGCCCATTTGTCATCAGTGTCGAGCTGCATCACCCATGTCCCCTTTGTGCTCTGTGGCCACCTGTGTCCGTTGTGTCATCTGTGGTCCCTGGACCCTCCTGGACCCCCCCCATGTCCCCTATGTCTTCCATGGCCCATTTGTTCTTGGTGCCCACTTGTGTCCCCCATGTCCCTCCTGGGCCCATGTCCTCTCTATCCCCTGTGTCCCCACGTGTCCCCTGTCTCCATACTCACCCATGCCCCCTGTAACACCTCCATGTCCCCATGTTCCTGTAACCCACCTGTGTCCTCTCATATTCTCATACCCACCCATGTCCTTGCTGTGCCCCCCCCCACTGGCCCCATACCCACCTGTGTTCCCCTGTGACCTCATGTATCCCCATGTCCCCACCCGTGTCCCCACGCCCCGGTGGTTTCTCCAGCCGCAGGCGGCCCAGCACCTCCTCGAATTTTGGGTGCTGGCTGAGCTTGGGCAGGCGCACGTGGACGCCACCACGCAGCCCCGTGCCCAGGTTCGAGGGGCAGGTCAGGATGTAGCCCAGGTGCTCGGTCCACATGAAGGGGTGCCCGGCCTTGCGGAATATCTCCTCGATCTGCAGGGGGACAGAGTGGGACATCATGGGACATCCAAGGGACGCCCTTGCGGGACCACCCGTGGGACCACCACCAACACCAGGGATCGCCCATGTACCCTTCAGGAACCCTCCTCCATGATCCAACCTGGAACCCTGCCATGATCCCTCCAGGAAATCCCCCTAAGATCCCTCCAGGACCAACCACCTCCCACCATGATCCCACCAGGGTCCCCCCCAGACCCAGCACCCCACGGTCCCTGCTGCCACCGCTGTCCCAAGTCCCCCTCCAGCTCCACCAGTCTGGGACCACCATGTCCCCAAGACCCACTATGTTCTCCCATGTCCCCAATGCCTCTCTATGTCCCCAAGACCCCCCCC